TATATATATATATATATATATAGTTTTAAACAAAACAAAGAGAAGAAATAAAAGTATGTGGTTTGTGTGTGCATGCTGCATGCAGAGAAAGACGATGAATTTGCAGGTACACCGCAGTGGATGGCCCCGGAGGTGGCTTTGACGTATTTCAGGCCCTCTTGGAGATCAGGGGGAAAGCATGGAGCAGCAGCAGCAGCAGCAGCAGCAACAGCAGCAGCAGCAGCAGCAACAGCAACAGCAGCAAACGAAAATGCAGCAGCCGAAAAAGGAGAGAAAGCAGCGGCAGCAGAGCGCGCAGAAGGAGGAGAAGCAGCACAAGAAGATACAGAAAAAAAAGAAAAAGAAAAAGAAAAAGAAAAAGAAGAAAAAGAAAAAAAAAATAAAGAAGAAATAAAAGCTTATGGTCCCGCTGTAGATATCTGGTCGCTCGGCATCACCGCCTTTGAGCTCGCTATGGGCAGGCTACCCTGGCCGCACAAACTCAAACTCCATCAGGTATTTTTATAAAATTAAATAAAATAAAATAAAATAAAATAAAATAAAATAAAATAAAATAAAATAAAATAAAAATTAAATGGTGTGGCTGCAATGCGGAAGAAACGGCGGACGCGCAGACGACTGCTAGCTGCCTAGACACCGCAACTGGTGCTGCTGCTGTTGCTGTTGCTGTTGCTGCTGCTGCTGTTGCTGCTGCTTCTGCTGCTGCTCCTGCTGCTTGTGCTGCTGTGTCTGCTAGTGCTGCTGTTGCTGCTGCTGCTGCTGCTGCAGCTTTTCTGTGTGTGTTATTGTTGTTACTGTTGTTATGTATTTCATTATCTTTTTCTCCTTTTGTGTCTATCACTGTTTATTACTTTAATTTATTTATTTATATAAATGTAATAGCATTGATATTTTTATTATTTATTTTTATTTTTTATTTATTTTTATTTATTTTTTTTTCTGCTGCAGCTGATGCAGCTCATCGCCTTCGGTGCTCCCCCCCGCATAAACCTAAATGAAGGCTGCGATAAATCTTTTTGTTATTTCGTTGAAAAATGCCTCAAAAAAAACCCTAAAGAAAGGTACACAGAGTTGTATATATATATATATATATATATATATATATGTATATATATA